TCGCCCAGCGTTGAATAATTTTTTTTAAGATTATTTTATCCATTTTTTTATTCAAGGGTATTCCGAGAATTTATATGACGGCACCTGGCTTATTATTTGTTTTAAACTTAAAGCTATAAAATTAATAATTTTGACGATTATAATAGATTTAATAAGATGGAGGTTTAATCAATGCAATGTTCCCCTTCATCTTATCTTATTTAAAAATTTCTATGCCTCCAGATATGACTGGGGGTGGGGGGGGGGTGGTGGTTGTATCTATACGAACCATTTATTTTTTAAAAAATATTTTTGAAAAATTTAAATTATATTATATTTATAGATAAAAAAACTTTTACTATAATAAAAAGAAAAAATTATCAACATGTTATTTTCGCGCTGAATAGGGTTAATCATATGAATAACTAGAGGCTATTAGAATCAAGGCTAGCTGAATCAATTAAATTATGCTTAAAAATATGATATAATAAGTATTGATTGGCTACTATAACTTTAAATATTTTATATGATAATTATTATAATTAGAAAAAAAATTTGAAAAATAATTAAAAACTTAAACATTTTTTAAAATTAATAAAATGTCATATTTTGACATTTTTATATGAATTATTTAGATGAAAATGATGTATTATATCAATAAAACTTAGTCCATAAAAAATAGAAGAATAATAATTATAATCATCTATGTAAGAGACTTAATAAACCAATGGAATCTGCAAGCCCCGGGTTTGGGGCTTGTTGGGGAAAATTTTAACTTTTATTAGAATCAATAAAATATTAAAAATATTTATTAATGTATAACTTTAGGTAAATGTTTGTTGGGCTATCTCATAGTATTTTATATATTCAAATACAACAATTATTTTCAGGCTTATGATGATTTTGATAAAAACGCTGAATAGCCCTAGTCCCTACTATTAGGAGAAAGTTGATCATGAGATCAAAAATTTAGATTATTTACCGGTTGACTAAAAAACGTTACGTTTTTAAATCTTTATAACTCTGAAACGCATCATCGTTCTTTTATGAAATCTATTTTATTGTGTATCTTAATAATCTCAAAATATTTTAAATTTTAAAAATGTAGTCACACTCATCTTTTTTAAAATTTCTCCTAAATCATAAACTATAACACAAAAATATTTCGGTATTATCAAAGAAATGAAATCTCATTATTAAATGCCACTAACAATATAAGCGTATACGGTAATTTTGTAAATTAATTATTATATCAAGAGAAGATCTGATAATGATAAAATTATGCCATGAGAAGAAAAATTGAAGTTTAATTCCTTAATTTTTTAGAAGAAAGTGGAATATTAGTCCAGTTCAATACTTTAAAGAGACCTCAAGATACGGGTTCCATATATCGAAAAACTATCAAGTAATAGGCTACAACCTTTTGAATCTTACAAACTTGAAAAAACAATTGGTAAAATATGGCCCTTAATATCAAATTGGCGTTTATTGTCAGGTTCATGCAAGAAAAAATAGGAAAGATTAATTACATAAATTTTTAAATTTTTAATAATTTTACGGATCTCAAAATATGCTTTGTGTTTGTTTTCCATTATAATTTATAATTACGAAAAAAATTTGAAAAAATCAATATAATGGGAACACGTCTTTTAAATAAATAAAAATAAATAAGGGTAAGTTATTTTTGTCCAATATTAGTATTTCAAATTTTTTAAAAAACGATTTAATCTAATTATTAAAAAAAATTGAGGATACGAAACTTCATAAATAGCAAGTGACGTGTTTTAAAGTTACAAAAATTTAAAAATGCTACGTTAAATAAATATAGAAACGTCAATTAGGCTGGTTTTCTCGTTTTTTGAAAAAGGTCTCAACTTGCTAAATGAGTTACAATATAATTAGTGAGTTTAAAGAATTTCTTTAGAAAAATAGAGATCAGGAAAAATATTATCAGCTAGGAATTTCCAAAAGATGACAAATTTATTGTTACCAATATATTTAAAATATAAAAACATAGTAAAGATGAACTATTTATTAAGAAGTGGATAAGTAGTAAAGAATTTTAATACTTTATATTAATTATATCGATCATTTGTCAAATATAAATCAGTATTGCATACGTGATAATTAATTCATGATATTACATTCGCGATAATGAATTCGCTGAAATGCATTTGCTATAATGCATTCGCGATAATATATTAGCTGATTTGCGATAATAATTTCGAGGTATTGCATTCGCTCTAATGCAATCGCGCTAATACATTCGCCATAATGCATTCGCGGTCATACATTTGCTGTAATGCATTCGCGATACTGTTTTCGCTATGGTGCATTCGCGATAATGCATTCGCGCTAATACATTCGCGATAATTTCTTCGCTCTAATACATTCGCTGTAATGCATTCGCGATACTGTTTTCGCTATGATGCATTCGCGGTAATGCATTCGCTATAATATCTTTTCGCAGTAATCAACATTCGCGGTAATGCATTTCGCGGTATTGACGTGATATGGAATAAATATAATAATTTTACTTAAGCAGGGTTTGAGAAAATTATTAATTGCCAATTTATATTACATAGAATTATCCAAATAAACATATATGCAAGAAAGTCTGAAAGCAGCTGTTGAAGAAGTTGGATATTTGTCCGAGATAAATTACCAATAATAAATTAAATGATATTTGGACAAAAATTATTTTAAACTATTCATAAACATTTAGCTATCTTATTGACCGTAGAAAATGAGATGCTTAATTTAGAAAACACATAATATCATCATGTCAATGATTTTATATTTTACAACCTAAAGAAAAAATATTAAAGATACGTCTGAAAAAGAAAACAATTGAAATTCATGTGCTCCATTGCACTGCTGATTATTTATTGGATCCCCAATATAAGGGGATCATCTTAATTGAGTTTGATGAAGTATATGATATAATAAAAAATTAGTCGTTTTAAAAAGTGATGATCATTAGAATAATTTAAGTGATGTGGAAACCAGTAACTTTCATAAAAAACAATCAGATTTCGGGTTAAAGTTGTTGGAATAGGCTTTGTTCACCTTGAATATTAAGAGAAATATTTAAGAAATCTGATTGAAGATCTCGACAACCAGAATATTGGTAGGAGTATATCATAACCTAAGATCGATTAGAAAATGTTAAAGAAAATGATAAGATTGAATATAAATTAGAACAAGGCTCTGCCATGGAGAGTGAAACATTAATTATAGAATTTAGAAATATGTAATTTAATATACATACATTTTTTACTAAAATAGAATTTATATCGTCAAAAACATTTATTTGAATTTGATCAGTCAAATATCGGTCAATTGTCCGAATCTTATTTGACCGGTCAAATGCACAACCCTAATATAAACTAAAAACAATAATGAAGATAATGACGAGTAACAAGTTCTATGGTAGAACTCATCAATTAAATGTTAAATATATATTTATAGATTTTTTCTATATTAATTTTGGGTTTTTTTGCATAATACTTCCTGATATTTTGTTTTTTCATTCAAATAATTTAGACATTCATTATTGTGATTTCTTTCCAGGTGTCTTTCTAAATTTGACAGATTACCAGAAATTTTTAATTTACAACATGAGCGTACTGATTTATTTTCTACTGTATCAATAGTAAAAATGCTTCGCAAATATGATTTTATCTTTGATCTTAAATCTTATGTAATAAAATGATGAATTGTGGAACATTTATTAAACTTTCAAATAAAAGAGTTAAAGAGAATAAATTTTTTAAATAGCAATGATTTCATAGAATTAAAAAACAAATATATAAATTTCATTTCATTTATAATATGCACTTAATATATGGTAAAAATTGAAGAAAAATTAAAATTTTAAATTAAGTAATTAATTATTTTTAAAAACCGGTATGAACCGGTTTAACCTGGTTATAAATATTACAGTTTGTCGGTTTGCTCTTTTTATATTTTTATAATGGTTCGGTTACGGTTCCGAAAATTATAATGGTTTGTTCCAGTTTGGGTTCGGCTCATAGGATCAAGAGTGAATAATATCTCAGCCAAAAGATATTTTAGTCAACTTTTATTTGATACTCATATCTATCGATATTTTGTGTTAATAAAAATACTCCTAACCCCTAAAAGATTAGACTAACATTAAGAGGGAGAGTTTGATCTCCAATTGGATAGATCGTTTAATTATTTATGGATCAATACCCATATTCTACATATCTACCATCAAAAAACAACTGAAAATAAATAAAGTAAAAAGTCAATAAAGCGAAGCGGGCTTAAAACGAATTTTAAAATAAGATTCTACATTATAGCTCATTATATAACTTTTAGGCACCCCCTTAGACCCCATGATGATCTCGTATAGTTCGTGATTTCTTTAAAAATTACTATTATATCATTTATTAATCTCATTATTATTTATAATCATATATCATGTTTGGGTTATAAGGTCAAATTTTCGGGTCAGGTCAAAAATGCAGACTGTCATTTTGTGTCGGGTTGAAATAAACAACGCGTTAACTTTGGGTGAGGTTATAAAAACGACCCCAAATTTGAGTCTAAATCCAATTAAAAAAACATGATTTTTGTTAGAAGTGAAAAATCGACCTAGATTTTGGGCCAGAGTCGTTATTTCGGCTTCAATCTGAGTCGCGATCGTAAAAGGACCCAAATTTTGAATCAAGTCGAAAAAATCAACCTATGTTTTGAGTAGAGGTCGTTTTTCGGTTTCTACTAGAGTCGATGTAATAAAAAAACAACCCGAATTTTGGGATGGATTCGCAACTTATGGCGTTTTAACAACACGAATATCAATATTGTCTAATATTTTACAATGTTGTTAATAGACCTTTTTTTAAGAAGCCTGTCCCTACCCAATATAAAATTTTATATAAAGAATTTATTTTTTTATAAATCCAATCATAATATTTTTAAAAAAAAGTATATAATAGAAATTGGATGTCATTTATATCCATATATATTATAAATATGCTTCTTTTTGTAACTATGTTTGTTATAAATAGATTTTAAAGAGAAATGTGTACTTTTTTAAAAATTTCATAAAATGTATAATAAATTTATTTTTAAAAATAAAATGATGACATTTATTATTATAATATATTAGGATAAATTTATAGGAAATCAAAATACTTTTCAAATATGTATTTAAGGCTACGTCAAAAGTTGATTTAAATTTTGTCAATGATAAAAGATATAACTGTCCAACAAAAAACTAAGGACATGCATCTTAATACATGATTGCTCTGGAAAAGTAAATCAACTTTGGATGTAATTTTAAAAAAGGGGAGTGGGTAAAATAAATTTACGTTACATATTAAATTATATACAAGTAATATTAACACATATAAATTATAATATCAAATAGGTATAATTTTCACAAATATTATTCCTAAGTAAATGTTGGATGAATGAAACGGTTATTGCAACTTGATAAATACGTTGGGTATAGAAATGAGTTTATTATGCAAAAAAAATTTATCACATATTTAAAATGGTTTAGAAAGGGTATGTGTTTAAAATTTTTCAATTTCCCATCGTGATTTAATTAAGAAGTTGCCTACTTAGTCTCTATAATCTTTTATGTGTATGTGTTTAGAAATATGGGTTACAATGTAAATGGTTAAACAGCTCAATTTTTTTAAAAAGGCTAACTCAATATTTTAGCCAGAAAAATATTGCCTAAGCCTCGATATTTCGCTAATAAATGTCCAAACCTTTGTGCATGAGAAAAATATTCAGGCTTGAGTAATATTTTTCTGGATAAAATAGGGTGCCCATTTCAAAAAATTAGTTCAAATCGAGCCAATTAACAACAAGCTTTTGTAGGAAAATATTTTTTCCTTTGCCCCAAATATTCATACACTTAAAAGGGCGTGAATGAGATGTGTTATTTATTGATTGATTACAACAACATTAAATAATTTATTGGCCCATATTTTTTTGGAATTCATTTTCCTTTCGAGTGATGGCATCTACAAAATAATTTATTTTATCAAAGCGCTAATTTAGTCAAGTCACATATCATGCTTTCCTCGTAGATTATATTATTTGCGCTATTTTCTTTGCGAGAAAAAATTCTTTTCGTCACGGGACTTTTTATATAAATTATACTATAATGAGATGAGAGATCAAGTTCTTATAAATTGCTTCGTTTATAAAAAAAATCAAAAATTATTTAAAAAAAACCGGATAATTTGAAAAAATGGATTGCAAATTTAAAGGGGAGAATGAATTATTTTATAAATATTTCCTTAAATAAAACATAATAATTCTATAGCCATCCATTATCCTTGATCATGTGAGCTAATTCGATTATGAATTTTCCTTCTTTATACTTTTGACTGGATTCAAATGCGTGTTCCTTCATTTTATTTAAGAAAAAACGATCGATAAAAATTATATAATTAATAAAATATAAATATTAGCGACCAAAATTTTGTCTTAATTCACTATGTATTTTAAATTGCCGACCATGATATTATTTTTAAAAATTTGATAATAAGAAAGAATAGATCGGATTATAATTATAAAAATTTGAACAACATTCAGATTAGGGCTGTCCGATTCGCAAATTTTTTTACCGATCCGATAATTTAATGTTTTAATTTTATGCACTTGAATTTAATGGATATTCCCTTACTATCTAATAATAAAATAAGTATTCAAAAGTGTTTTTCCATCTAAAAAAAATGTTTTATTAAATTCTAGAAGGTCAAGATTTATTTTAGAAGAAAGTAACTATCTTTAATTCATTTTTAGATAATATTAATTTCAATCTTACTGCTTAATAATCAAATATTAACCCATAATAGAGATCATGAATATCTCATTTAAATTATATAAAATCAATTGAAAATATCCTTATTTGTATGAAAAATAATAGTGATTAATAAACAGTTCTAATAAATATTTATAGAATAAATAAAAACAATGAATCGTTATTCTCAGCCAGATTTGTTGAAGTAGTGCGCTGCTTATTTTAATAGCGTAGTTAATAGGGCGTTAGATATCTTAAATTTTTGGATATAATTCTCCTTATTTAATTTCTAATTTTATGAGATCTCTTTAACATTTTTAATTTATTTTTTACATCTCTTCTCATTTTATAAATTTTTTTTTCTTCTCATTTGTGATGAATTTTTTTTGTCTTTTTAAAAATTATTTTTTTATTTTTCCTGTCATTATTATTCAATTCTATATTTTATTTTATCATTCTTCTTCCCACTTTTCGCGGGAATATTCAGATTCGAGGTTCCCGATGGCCCCTGCAACGCTATACACAATTTATAAATGAAATATTAATTTATTTTAAAGAAAGTAATATGATATTTGTGATGGATAATGAATGTTCCATTTCATCATAACCATACAATTAGAGAATCGATAGAAAGGCGAGGGCATACAATAAAATTACCAATACCGCCAAAAAGGATTTTGTCAGAATTAAAATCCTAATCAGGAGAAGGAATGTATTCGTCTTATGGAGAATGGAGGGAGAAGAATAACTGAAGAGAATGCCAAGAATTATTTTAAAAATATGGAAATATAAAAAAGGGGAAATTATTAATGAATATAATTTTTTCTTACTATAAAAAATAAAAATATAAGAAGCAAAGATGATAAAAAGTCAAAAAATTGTTATGTAAGATGAAAAAGGGAAAATGAATGGAAAAATGACATAAAATTTATAATTGAAGAAAGGCAAGGAAAATAAAGAAATTATTTTAGTGTTTTAATATTATAGTTTTTTAAGTATTCTGATAGAAATTTTTAATAAATGAATATTTAGAGGGAAAAAAAATAATCAAAAATGAGAAGAAAAAATATTAAGAAAATTGAGTAAATTAAAATTGATCGTGAAAAGTTAGAAAAATTAAAAATAGCCAAAATTTTAAGAAATCATATTGAAAAAATTTTTAATTTATTTTTAAAATATATAAAAAAAAGATTTGCTTTTTTGAATGGAAATTTTTTGATTAGGACTTTTATTTTTGGAAAATATAAAATGCCGTCAAACGACTTAAACATGGAAGAGAGAGATGATAAGCTAAATTGTACTAGAAAATGATATTCTGGAATTACCTTTCCACAATATTTATAAATATTTTGAACTGCATAAAATAAAGAATGAGATCGCTTACTTCAACCTAAAAAGATATTACATACATTTTAGTGAAATTATTAACTACTGTTTTAAATTTAGAATGCAAAAAATTCAGAAAGATTGAAAAATATCCAATAATTTTGATGTATATGAGGAAGCTACATTCAATAATTCAAATAAATAATGACATTAGAACCAGGTGCATCTCAAAAATTAGCTAATAAATTAATTAATTATTAATTGATACAGTCCAGCCAATTTCCTTGGTCGATAATCCCTCATCTGATTACATCTTTTGGTATGATATTATGTGGCAAAGCAAGAATTTTGGATAATTTTCAAGAAAAGAAAGTCGTTAATATTAGATCTATCAGATCAGATTGTTGAAACTCTTGAAGGGAAAATAAAGTATTTAATTCCGATATATATTAACTTAATTGGATCCTAAGAGCAGTTAAATAGGCTATTGGTAACGTTGACCAATCTCCAACGAGGATGCACATTAGCTAATAAATCCTATTGACACCTTTTTAAATCTTAAAATGGTCAAATGAACATTATTGATAATTTTTCTTATATAAAACGTTCAGAAACTAAAAAAAATGCATTGCCCACAAGTGCTATTATTGAGCGATTATTTGATAAAACAAAAAACTGGCCGAGCTTTGCAGATTTCTAATACAAAGCATAGAAATATACCTAGCTTCGGGCCCGAAAATGGGCCCAACCAAGAATCGGACCCTGAAAACATGGTATATTTACTTAATCTCTTACCCACTTCTATGAGGCTTTAAAATATTAATAAAAATTATTAGGGCTGTACCGATCCACAATTTTTTCATCGATCCGATATTTCAAACGGCACCGATACCGATAATTGATTTTTATCATTGTCGTATTGGGATATGGAATCATGTGGAATTTGGAATCCCAACGTGGAAATTCGAGATCTTGAATCTCCCAAAAATATTTTAAAAAAAGATTCCGAATCCCCATGAAAAAAAATATAATTACGTTTTCTTCTCTTTTTTGCCATCTGGCTGGCACCATTTAATTAAAAGGTCAAAATAAGGGATTTAAAAAGAAAATTTTAATAAAAGTATATAGTATAAAATTAAGGCATATAATGAATGAAAAATAAGGTTAAACATTTTTTTTTTTGTAAATTTATATGAAATATTTTCACATGAATATATATTTTAAAAAATCCGAATTAAAAAAATAATTATTTATTGCAACAATTCTTCAATGCTATATGATATTTGGTTGAAATTTAAGGTGTTCTTGAAACACTAACATCTTTTATTCGTGCAACCCATTTTGCAATTGCATAACGATGTTTTCCCATAGTTTGTGACATTTCGGAAGCTCCTAAATATTTTTAGCAGTTTAAATAAATAATTAATATATTTTATGTACATGAATTAATTTGAGGAGTATATGTGGTTACTATAAAAATAGCTAAATTATCTATGATTGCTATATCTTTGTTGGGAACTTCAAAATCATTTAATTTTATAGTTTTATATAGACTAGAGGCAATGAATGGTGCTGAAATTCTTCCAGCACACGTTCCTACCCATATTTTGTTCAATTTTTAATACTTTCCTTTCAATTAGGAATAAAGTAACTAAAAGACCTGCAGAGGTGCCATTTGCACGGCCCGGCCAGGATTCTTTTTAAAAAAATATATTATATTTATTTTTAATGGCGATTTAAAATATTTGGTTTTAAAATATACGGCCCAGCCAGAGTATTTATATTAAAAAATTAAAATACGACTTGACCCATATTTACCCGGACCGGGCTTAGGGCCGAACTTGCAGGTCTTTGAAATAACTGATATGAATTATCAATAAATTTAATTTTAATATAAATTAGTAATTGTATTGGGCGAGATTTTTTTCAAAGAATTTCTAAAATATTAAATTTTGAAATGAAAATTTATTTTTAATATGAATTAAGAATCTCATTGGGCGGGATTTTTTTTCATGGAATATCTAAATTATTACATTTGAAAATTTATATTAATAAAATTATTTATTTTTAATATTAGTTTAAAAATTTTTTTAATGCCTTTTACCCAAAACAGTTACAGAATATAATTTATATAAAACCATATTAAAAAAAACCCAAATACAAATCTATTCAAAATATACGAAAGGAAATATAGATAATATTTTTAACGATTCCGTCACTTTTTTTATTGTTTACCAATGAGGAAAATTATGTGAAGCTATATACATTGTTATTAAAATAGCAAAGGTTTCTTTCGAATTGTCCATAATATTACTAATAGTCCTTGTTCAAAAAATGTTGGCCATAAAATTACATGGAAAAATAGTTGTGTTACCAATAATATTGGGAATAGTATTTCTAATATTTTAAAGGCCCCTTCTTTTATTTTATATTTAAATGATCGTGGGTGTCAAAACATAATTTATTCTCAAATAATTGGACAAAATAACTTTATCTTAGGTCATCACTTGTTATTATCTCTCCATATCCTAAAAATTTAGAAGGGAAAGTATTAAAAATTGAACAAAATAAAATATGGGTAGACGTGTGCTGGAAGAATTTTAGCACCATTTATTGTCTCTAGTCTATATAACTATAAAATTAAATGATGTTGAAATTCCCAACAAAGATATATCAATCATAAGCAATTTAAGCTATTTTTATAGTAACCACACACTCCTCAAATTAATTCATGTACATAAAATATATTAATTTTTTAATTAAACTATGTCACAAAATATGGGAAAACAACGTTATGCAATTGCAAAATGGGTTGCATGAATAAAAGGATCAAGAACAACATCAAATGTTCAACGAAATGTCATATTGCATTGAATAATTGTTGCAATAAATAAATTTTTTCATTCGGATTTTTTTAAAAAAATATTTATGATTTTATAAATTTACAAAAAAATGTCTTTTAGCCTTATTCTTTTCATTCATTATATGCCTTAATTTTATACTATTTACTTTTTAAACATTCTCTTATCATTTTTGATTATATAATTTATTTATTATAGCTAAATATCTCTAAAAAATAAAATTTTCTGGTGCCAGCCAGGCTGCAAAAAAAATATTATTTAAGTGTTTAAAAAAATATATTCCGAATACCCATAAGTTTTAAATATTTAAAAAAAAGATTCGAAATAAAAAGTGGGGATTCAATCCAAGATCTCGAATCCCACATGATTTCATATCCCAATACGACATATATATCTCTAATGTTAAATTTAAACAAA